CGATGAAAAAACACAATATCAACACACCAGTGAAACCGAACAGAAAACTCAGACAAATACTCGTCCACCCAAAAAACAAAATAGAACCAGAGCATAAATGTAATGTCATATACGAAATCCCCTGCATGTCCTGCAATAAAACACACATCGGGGAACAGGGAGGGCGTTCAGTACACGAAAAAAGGAACATAGAACAGAATGCGAGAAGGAAACAGCGAAGGCGAAACACGAGCAACAAAACACAAAGCAGAACAGGAACAACTCAAATCGGCCGTTTCTGACCATTGCAAAAGAGAGAACCACGTTATGGACTGGGATGAAGCGAACATCATTGGGACAGAGGAAAACAAACATCGCCGCTGGATTAAAGAAGCAATCGAAATACGGAAACGTGCCCACAGGACTGTAAACCGGGACGAGGGGCTTTTTTACTCTCACACACCTGGGATGCTGTCCTGAGGAAGTGGGACTGCAGGTGGCGCTGTCGTCCTGCCTCCACCGGTAGGAAGACAGCACCAAAACCTGTTTAAATCAGCTGACTGGACACGTCACAGCAACATCACGTGACTCTGAGGAAGACGCTAGTGAGCAAAACCAAACTGTCAGGTATGAAATAACACTCTAGGTCTGAAAAAAAGAACCTAATAACATAGAATATTGGAAGACCAAATGAATCTCATTGGACGAGGACAAAACGAGCTGATAAAAGCCTGATTTAACTGAAGAAAACAAAAGGTGAGTCAAACTCTAGTCAAACTCACAGTGAGTCATTTAAACCTAAAATTATCAAACACTTTATTTGTCTTAATAGAAAAGCTCAAACAGAAGCCGTCAGAACAGGAGGACTGGTCAGGGATGTCAGATGTCAGATAGGAAGTTCTCCAGGAGGTTCTTCCGGCTCCTTCTGACCCCGGCTCCAGTTGACTTGCATTAGGATCTTGTCGTCCCTCGTCATTTTGGTCTTAAAATGTTCGTATTAAACCGCTCCACATGATCCTGAAGATTTTTTTTTTTCACTATTTTCGCTCCTGTAACCATGAACATCAGGTCACACTTCTTTGACACAGTCTGTGTCTGTGCCAGGGCAGCGGGAGGAGAGGAACAGTGTGTTTAATAATTCCACCCATTTTAGAAAATTTATCCCAGGTCCAGATTTCAGTAACACAATAAACAAGTAAGACCAAACCAGGACTGAACCAGGACTAGACCAGGACTAAACCAGGACTAAACCAGGACTAAACCAGGACTAAACCAGGACTAAACAAGGACTAGACAAGGACTAGACCAGGATTAAACCAGGACTAAACCAAGACTAAACCAGGACTAAACAAGGACTAAACCAGGACTAAACCAGGACTAAACAAGGACTAAAGAAGACTAGGACAAGGACTAGACCAGGATTAAACCAGGACTAAACCAAGACTAAACCAGGACTAAACAAGGACTAAACCAGGACTAAACCAGGATTAAACCAGGACTAAACCAGGACTAAACCAGGACTAAACCAGGACTAAACCAGGACTAAACAAGGACTAGACCAGGATTAAACCAAGACTAAACCAGGTCTAAAGCAGGACTAGACCAGGACTAAATTAGGATTAAACCAGGACTAAACCGGGACTAGACCAGGATTAAACGAGGACGAAGCCAAGTCTAGACCAGGACTAAACTGTAACTGAACCAGGACTAAACCAAGATTAAACCAAGACTAAACCAGGACTAGACCAGGACTAGACCAGGACTAGACCAGGACTAGACCAAAACTAGACCAAGACGAATCCGGGACTAAACCACTACTAAACCATGACTGAACCAGGACTTAACCACAACTAAACCAAGACTAAACCAAGACTAAACCAGGACTAAACCAGGACTAAAGCAGGACCTAACCAAGACTAGACCTGGACTAAACCAGGAATAAACCATAACTGAACCACTAAGGACTGAACCAGGACTGAACCAGGACTAAAACCAGGGACTGAACCAGGACTGAACCAGGACTAAAGGACTAAACCAGGACCAAACCAGGACTAAAGCAGGACTAACCAAGACTAACCAGGACTAAACCAGGAATAACCAGACTAAACCAGGACTGAACCAGGACTAAACCAGGACTAACCAGGACTGAACCAGGACTAAACCAGGACTGAAACCAGGACTGAACCAGGACTAAACCAGGACTGAACCAGGACTAAACAGGACTAAACCAGGACTGAACCAGGACTAAACCAGGACTAAACCAGGACTGAACCAGGACTAAACCAGGACTAAACCAGGACTAAACCAGGACTGAACAGACTGAACCAGACTGAACCAGGACTAAACCAGGACTACCAGGACAACCAGGACTGAACCAGGACTAAACCAGGACTGAACCAGGACTGAACCAGGACTGAACCAGGACTAAACCAGGACTAACCCAGGACTAAACCAGGACTAAACCAGGACTGAACCAGGACTAAACCAGGACTAAACCAGGACTAAACCAGGACTAAACCAGGACTAAACCAGGACTAAACCAAGACTGAACCAGGACTGAACCAGGACTGAACCAGGACTAAACCAGGACTAAACCAGGACTAAACCAGGACTGAACCAGGACTAAACCAGGACTGAAACCAGGACTAAACCAGGACTAAACCAGGACTAAACCAGGACTAAACCAGGACTAAACCAGGACTAAACCAGGACTGACTATGTGCACAGTTCTGGGTGAATCTCGTAGGTTTGGGCATAAGTTTGTTTTTAAGATGACTGAAGGATTTTGGGCTGAGGAAAAATTCATGACGTGAAAATGGGTCAAAATCGCCACAAAATCTGACTTTTTCAAAGCCGCGAGCGTCACGGCGAAACGGAGGGAGGAGCCAAAACACACGACTGCTCTTAAAGGTCTTTAATAGAACAAAGAATGAGCCGAAATCCCACACGGACCCGGACGCTGGAGCCACGAAGTACAGAGGAGGACACAGGGTTTAGAACCATCACACACACAAGACACAGAAGAGAACACAGACCCCGGGCATCCAGAAAACCCCACACAGTCACATATACCCCACACAGTCCTCTGTAATACCCCACACAGTCACATACCCCTCTGTAATACCCCACACAGTCACATGACCCTCTGTAATACCCCACACAGTCACATGACCCTCTGTAATACCCCACACAGTCACATACCCCTCTGTAATACCCCACACAGTCACATGACACAACCCCTCTGTAATACCCCACACAGTCACATACCCCTCTGTAATACCCCACACAGTCACATAACCCTCTGTAATACCCCACACAGTCACATACCCCTCTGTAATACCCCACACAGTCACATACCCCTCTGTAATACCCCACACACCTGTTCACACACCACATACCCCTCTTGTAATACCCACACACACCTGTCACACACCACCTGTAATACACCTGTCACACACACCTGTCACACACCTGTAATACACCTGTCACACACCACACCTGTCACACACACCTGTAATACACCTCACACACCTGTCACACACCTGTAATACACACACACACCTGTCACACACACCTGTAATACACCTGTCACACACCTGTAATACACCTGTCACACACCTGTAATACACCTGTCACACACCTGTAATACACCTGTCACACACCTGTACACCTGTCACACACCTGTAATACACTGTCACACCTGTAATACACCTGTCACACACCTGTAATACACCTGTCACACACCTGTAATACACCTGTCACACACCTGTAATACACCTGTCACACACCTGTAATACACCTGTCACACACCTGTAATACATCCATCACACACCTGTAATACACCTGTCACACACCTGTAATACACCTGTCATCACCTGTAATACACCTGTCACACACCTGTAATACACCTGTCACACACCTGTACACCTGTACACCTGTCACACACCTGTACACCTGTCACACACACACACCTGTCACACACCTGTAATACACCTGTCACACACACCTGTAATACACCTGTCACACACCTGTAATACACCTGTCACACACCTGTAATACACCTGTCACACACCTGTAATACACCTGTCACACACCTGTCACACACCTGTAATACACCCATCACACACCTGTACATACACCTGTCACACACCTGTAATACACCTGTCACACACCTGTAATACACCTGTCACACACCTGTAATACACCTGTCACACACCTGTCACACACCTGTAATACACCTGTCACACACCTGTAATACACCCATCACACACCTGTCACACACCTGTCACACACCTGTAATACACCCATCACACACCTGTCACACACCTGTCACACACCTGTAATACACCTGTCACACACACCTGTCACACACCTGTAATACACCTGTCACACACCTGTACATCACACACCTGTCACCACACCTGTAATACACCTGTCACACCCATCACACACCTGTAATACACCTGTCACACCTGTACACACCTGTCACACACCTGTAATACACCTGTCACACACCTGTAATACACCTGTCACACACCTGTCACACACCTGTAATACACCTGTCACACACCTGTAATACACCTGTCACACACCTGTAATACACCTGTCACACACCTGTCACACACCTGTCACACACCTGTAATACACCTGTACACACACACACCTGTAATACACACACACACACACCTGTCACACACCTGTCACACACCTGTAATACACCTGTAATACACCACACACACCTGTCACACACCTGTACTACACCCTGTCACACACCTGTCACACACCTGTAATACCCCACACAGTCACATATCTCCTCTTTAATTAAACCCAACAGAACTTTCTGGTCCAAAACAGTCAGGTCCTGACAGTTTGGCCTCGTTCAGTTTCTGTGTTTCCAGTTTTTATTTGAGTCAGTTTCAGCAGAGACACTGTTAGGTTTATCTAAACATTTAAAGACAAGAAGAAAGACAAGAGATTAATTCAGTTTTACTCGCGAGGAGAACGGGCAGAGAGTGGGCATCAAAACCAACAGTCTCCACACGTTCTGATGACTCAAGGCCGTTCTCCTCTTTTTATTTCATTAGGAGGCCCTAGTTACAGAACGATAATTCTCAAGGGGAAGGGGAAACAGCAAAGACATAATAAGAAACTGATGCAGCTAAGCATAGTATAAACACATAAAACATGATTAACAATCAGGAGGTGCCTTAGGTCAGACACCATCATAACTCTTGCATGTGTGACAGTGGGAGTTGGCTTCATGTGAGGAATCATCTCGAGGTTCACAAGAGCGATAGGACACTGCACACAGTTGTCAAACACACAGAGGTTATTCATTTTCATACAAGTGATTGGTACATTATAAATCAAAAAATTGTAGTACATAAATGGTTAACTCATAGGCCTAGAATATCACACAAGTATTTAGCAAATATGGGATAATAGAATTATTCTGACAGACACTGAAGCTCCGTTTTGTTCTTTTTTCTCTTGATCTTTTCTTCTCATTGTTGCGTCCTCATCGTGGGACAAGTCCAGTTTCTCTTCTGTTTTATCTCGTCTCGTTCACCAGAGTCACAGAGGAACCTTCATTCCACAGTGTAAACCCTGGAAACAGAGGCTCAGAGAAGGACGAGGAGAAGGTCCAGAGGTGGAACAGTTCTCCATCGGAGGAGACGTGATAGAAGGACAGAGCTCCAGCCTCGGAGTCCAGGAACACGCCCACTCTGCCCGAGGACACGCCCCCTTCACCAGAGGACACGCCCTCTTCCTCTGAGTGACAGGAGCGGTGGAGTCGTGTCATGATGCTGTTGTGACGGACATAGTACTCTCCATCAGTTAAGATCTCCAGACTCCAGGAGTGATCGTTGTTTCCAAACACACTCTCTCGTCCTCCTCTTCTTCGTCTGATCTTTCTGTAACTCAGTGCTACGTCAACCCCCCCGCTCCAGTCCACCTGCCAGTAACAGCGCCCCCTCAGGTCAGTGCAGCTCAGGACCTGAGCCCAGTCTGTGAACCTGTCGTCATGATCTGGATATTCGTGCTCCTCCTTCACATGAGTCACAGTGTGATGGTCGTCAGACAGAAGCAGATGTCGGTGAACTGAGTTTGTGTCCAGAGAAACGAGACGCGAGTCTGAAACACAAACACTTCACCTCATTCTTTTGTTCTGACTGACTCTGTGTTTACTGCACCTGTCACACACCTGTCACACACCTGTCACACACCTGCCACACACCTGTCACACCTGCACACACCTGCACACACCTGTCACACACACCTGTCACACACCTGTCACACACCTGTCACACACCTGTCACACACCTGCCACACACCTGTCACACACCTGCCACACACCTGTCACACACCTGTCACACACCTGTCACACACCTGTCCACACACCTGTCACACACACCTGTCACACACCTGTCACACACCTGTCACACACCTGTCACACACCTGTCACACACCTGTCACACACCTCACACACCTGTCACACACCTGTCACACACCTGTCACACACCTGTCACCACACCTGTCACCTGTCACACACCTGTCACACACCTGTACACCTGTCACACACCTGTCACACACCTGTCACACACCTGCCACACACCTGTCACACACACACCTGTCACACACCTGTCACACACCTGTCACACACCTGTCACACACATACACCTGTCACACACCTGTCACACACACACCTGTCACACACCTGCACACCTGTCACACACCTGTCACACACCTCACACACACATCACACATGTCCACACACACACCTGTCAAACACCTGTCACACACACCTGTCACTCACCTGACACCTGTCACACACCTGTCACACACCTGTCACACACCTGTCACACACCTGTCACACACACCTGTCACACACCTGTCACACACCTGCACACACACCCTGTCACACACCTGTCACACACACCTGTCACACACCTGTCACACACACCTGTCACACACCTGTCACACACACACACACCACCTGTCACACACCTGTCACACACCTGTCACACACTGTGTACACCTGTACACACACACACACACACCATCACACACCTGTCACACACCTGTCACACACACACACCTGTCACACACCTGCACACACACACACCCATCACACACCTGTCACACACCTGTCACACACCTGTAACACACACCATCACACACCTGTCACACACCTGCCACACACCTGTCACACACCTGTACACACACATCCATCACACACCTGTCATACACACCTGTCACACACACCTGTAATACACCTGTCACACACCTGTAATACACCCATCACACACCTGTCACACACACCTGTACATCACACACCTGTACATCACACACCCACCTGTCACACACCTGTAACCTGTCACACACCTGTAATACACACACACCTGTAATCACACACCTGTCACACACCTGTAATACACCTGTCACACACCTGTACATCACACACACCACACACACCTGTCACACACCTGTACATACACCCATACACTGTCACACACCTGTCACACCTGTAATACACCTGTCACACACCTGTAATCACACACACCTGTCACACACCTGTAATACACCTGTCACACACACCTGTCACACACCTGTAATACACCTGTCACACACACCTGTAATACACCTGTCACACACACCTGTAATACACCTGTCACACACACCTGTCACACACCTGTAATACACCTGTCACACACAAACACACCTGTCACACACCTGTAATACACCTGTCACACACACCTGTCACACACCTGTAATACACCTGTCACACACACCTGTAATACACCTGTCACACACACCTGTCACACACACACCTGTCACACACACCTGTAAATACACTGTCACACACACCTGTCACACCTGTCACACACACACCTGTCACACACACCTGTAATACACCTGTCACACATCTGTAATACACCTGTCACATACACCTGTCACACACACCTGCCACACACCTGCCACACGCGTGTCACACACCTGTCGATATTTGAACCATTTGAAACTGAGTGAATGACCTGAGTGAATGACCTGAGTGAATGACCTGAGTGAATGACCTGAGCTGTTCTCTGCACTTTACTGTGTGAAGGAAACAAAACAGACTCACACTTCCTCAGACCTGGAACCATCCAGCGCTCTCCAGCAGGATCCAATCCAACCTGAACCAACAGACCAGACCAGTCCAGTCCAGAACCAGACCAGGACCAGGACCAGCCAGACCAGACCAGACCAGACCAGGACCAGACCAGACCAGACCAGGACCAGACCAGACCAGACCAGGACCAGACCAGACCAGACCAGGACCAGACCAGACCAGACCAGACCAGACCAGACCAGACCAGACCAGGACCAGACCAGACCAGACCAGACCAGACCAGACCAGACCAGACCAGACCAGACCAGACCAGTCCAGACCAGGACCAGACCAGGACCAGACCAGGACCAGACCAGGACCAGACCAGGACCAGACCAGAGACCAGGACCAGACCAGACCAGACCAGACCAGACCAGACCAGACCAGACCAGACCAGACCAGACCAGACCAGACCAGACCAGACCAGACCAGACCAGGACAGACCAGGACAGACCAGACCAGACCAGGACCAGACCAGACCAGAGACCAGACCAGACCAGACCAGACCAGACCAGACCAGACCAGACCAGACCAGGACCAGACCAGGACCAGACCAGGACCAGGACCAGACCAGACCAGACCAGGACCAGACCAGGACCAGACCAGGACCAGACCAGAGACCAGACCAGGACCAGAGACCAGACCAGGACCAGACTAGAGACCCGAGACCAGTGTTCTCTCACTTGACAGACGGCAGGGGCAGTCTCACCTGACAGACAGCAGGGGGCGCTGGTTCCTGTAGAGCGGTCAGGCGCTTGGCGGAGGGTCCTGGATGGTTGTAGCTCAGGTCCAACTCTCTGAAGTGGGAGGGGGCGGAGCTCAGAGCTGAGGCCAGAGCAGCCCCGCCCCTCTCTGAGACCAGACATCCAGACAGCCTAAAGACACAGCATTACACTCATGTGGACACAAGGGGGCAGAGTGCATCATGGGAGCGTCTCACCTGAGAGTCTCCAGTCTGCAGGGGGCGCTCTTCAGTCCATCACACAGCAGCTCCACTCCTGAGTCCTGGAGGTCGTTGTCAGTGAGATCCAGATGTGTGAGACTGGAGGAGCTGAGGACTGAGGCCAGAGGAGAACAGCTGTGAGGGGACAGGCCACAGCCACAAAGACTGAGGAAAGAGAGGGACATTAGAGACTAGAACCTCCCCACAAGAATTTAAATACAATCTGGACTCACAGGGCTTTGGTGGAGGTTCTGATCACCGGCAGTAGACCCAGGAGAGCTCTCTCTGAGCCCTGGTATTTCCTCAGGTCAAACTCCTCCAGGTCTAAGTCTGAGGACAGTAAGATGAAGGACAGAGCAGACCACTGACCAGGAGACAAGGTTCTATCAGAGAGGAATCTTCTCATGTTCTTCTGTATCTCCTTCACCAGACTTTGGTCGTTGAGCTCGTTCAGACAGTGGAGCAGGTTCAGACTTCTCTCTGCAGACAGACCCTCTTCATCCAGCTTCTGTTTGATGAACTTTACTGTCTCCTGATTGGTCTGGTCACTTCCTGTGTGAGTCAGCAGACCCTGCAGCAGCCTCTGATTGGTCGGCAGAGACAACCCCAGGAGGAAGCGCAGGAACAGGTCCAGGTGTCCATTTGGACTCTGTAAGGCCTGGTCCACAACAGAGCGGTAGAAGGCTTCAGGGTCTGGACTCTCAGAGGAGTGTGGTGTCTCCAGCAGGTTCTCTCCAGAGCTGTAGAAGGTCTGATGGACGTGAAGAGCAGCCAGAAACTCTTGCACACTCAGATGGATGAAGCAGTAGACCTTGTCCTGGTACAGGCCTGGCGCCTCTCTAAAGACCTGTGTGAACACTCCGGAGTACACTGAGGCCGCTGCAGCGTCCAGCCCACACTCACTCAGGTCACTCTCGTAGAAGATCAGGTTTCCTTTCTGCAGCTGCTCAAAGGCCACTTTTCCCAGAGACTTCACCATCTCCGTGGTCTCTGGAGTCCAGTGAAGGTCCTCCCCTGATCCTTGGTGATATTTGATGTTCTGGACTTTAGCCTGCACCACCAGGAAGTGGACATACATCTGTGTGAGAGTCCGGGGCAGCTCTGGTTCTGTTTGTTCCAGAAGCTTCTGTAGAACTGTGGAGAGGATCCAGCAGAAGATCGGCATGTGGCTCATGATGTGGAGGCTGCGGATGCTCTTGATGTGGGAGATGACGGCTGTGGCCTGGTCTCTGAATCTCTTCTTGAAGTACTCCTCCTTCTGTGGGTCGGCGAACCCTCGCACCTCTGTCACCATGGAGACACACTCAGCAGGGATCTGATTGGCTGCAGCGGGGCGCGTGGTTATCCAGACGAGAGCGGAGGGAAGCAGGTTCCCCCTGATGAGGTTCACCAGCAGCACGTGCACTGAGGCGGACTCTGTGGGGTCGCTCAGGACCCGGGTTTGGCCGAAGTCCAGAGGAAGTCTGCACTCGTCCAGACCGTCAAAGATGAAGAGCACCTGGAGCTGTTGGAAGCTGCAGAGATCTTTGGATGGACTGAAGAAGTGGTGCAGCAGCTCCAACAGGCTGAACTGTGTGTCTCTGAACATGTTCAGATCTCTGAAAGTGAAGGGGAACAGCAGGTGGAGGTCCTGGTGGGCCCGGTCTTCAGCCCAGTCCAGACAGAACTTCTGAGTCAGCACTGTTTTCCCCACACCGGCCACGCCCTTCGTCAGCACTAATCTGATTGGTTGTGGTGAATGTGAGCGGGGTTTAAAGAGCTCTTCACATTTGATGGTCTCTGGAGCGGCCGGTCTCCTGGACGCCTTCTCCACGTATCTGACCTCATGTTCCTGGTTGACCTCTGAGGCTCCGCCCTCTGTGATGTAGAGCTCTGTGTAGATCTGGGTCAGGGGGGCGGAGTCTCCTGCTTTAGCCACGCCCTCAAACACACGGCTGAACTTGTGCTGCAGATCACACTTCAGTTTATCTCTGAATCCAACTTTACTCCCTGTAAACAACACACAAGTGTTAGAATGTCAAACATGTCACATATTTCATACAGGAGGAAATCTGACACACAGGGAGGGCATCTGACACACAGGGATACAGGAGGATGGGAGGGCATCTTGAGGTTCTTACTGTGGAGCAGGTGCTGGGCCAGATGTTCCTGGTTCATCCTCTTCAGGAAGTTCAGGGTGATGTTCAGAACCTCTCTGCTCTCCTCCTCCTCACTCTCGGAGCATTCTGGGTAATCTGAGGCCAGGAGCCCGTGGAGTCTCTGCAGCTGCTGTTGGACAAACCTCAGGACCTGCTCCTCCAGAACCTGGAACCACACACTGTGTGAAGAAGTGTTCTGAGTGTGACGTCACCCACAGCGCTCAGCTCCAAATGAAGCTCATGGAGGCCAGCACTTAGAGTGGCTCATCTGGAGCCAGAGCTTCGACAGACCATTATTCTCTTTTGGATTCATCTAGACATTATTTTTTCCACTACAGTACAGTCCACACCTCCACACCTCGTCCTGTGGTTTGCTGTGAAAATGGCTCTAGTGTTTTTTGTGCAATTTAGTGTTAAACTAAAACATTTAGACTTAAACTTCAAATTTAGGATTCACATTTAGACTGTACACATTACATTTATATTTAAACTTTGGATTTAGTGTGTAATCTTTACATTTAGACTGTAAACTTTACATTTAGATTTAAACTCTACATATGGACTGTAAATTTAACATTTAGTTGTAAACTTTACATTTAGATTGTAAACTTTTTATTCAGATTTAAACTTTATATTTAGATTGCAACTTTTACATTTAGTCTTTAAACTTTACATTTAGACGGTAAACTTTAGATGTCATCTGAAACCTTTACGTTTTGACTGTAAACTTTAAATTTAGATTTATACTCTACACTGAAGCTTTTCATTTAGACTTAAATTTACATTTAGATGATACATTTTACATTTAACCTTTAAATTTTACATTTATACTGTAAACTTTAGATACAATTTGGAACCTTTACATTTGGATTTAAACTTTACATTTAGACTTTACGTTTAGTGTGTGTGTTTGCGTGTGGGTCTGTGTGTATGTGTGTATGTGTGTGTTGTGTGTGTGTTTGTGTTCACAGACCTGGAAAATGGAGTCCAGTTCTGCTCTTGCTTCCTCGTCTCTGTCGACCAATAAAAACAGAGTCCTGGTTTAGTCTTGTTTGGTCCTGGTTTAGTCGTGGTTTAGTCGTGGTTTATTCCTGGATTAGTCCTGGTTCCGTCCTGGTTTAGTTCTGGTTTAGTCCTGATTCAGTCCTGGTTCAGTCCTGGTTTAGTTCTGGTTTAATTCGTACCTCTGATGTGAGTCTTTAAACTCTACTCTGAGGAACATTCACAGACGTATTTGAAAAACTGAAGTAAGATTTGAGTGTGAACCATACACAACACACACACACACACACACACACACACACAACAACACAACACACACACACAACAACACACAACACACACACACACACACAACACACAACAACAAACAACACACACACAACAACACACAACACGCTGTGGGGCGAAGTTCCAAGTGCAGGTGGTTTTATTGTGCCAGTGTCCAAAGTGCAAAAAGATCCTTAAAACAGTGCAAAAATATTTACAGGGAGCAAAAATGTCCAAAAGTATTTACAACAAAGAAACTGGGTCGAGTTCAACGTTAAGTGTCCCCATTAAGATCCTGGTACAGCACACCGACGTTACCTGCTCTGTAACCGGAGGCAGACTCATCGACAGCCAGAAATGACTCTCCTTTAAACCACCTGACTCCTCCCACTAAGCGAAGGCACCACATCGGAGGAGAGAGACTGCGTCATCGGACAGGTAGGAGACAAGTATGAAATAAAGCAGGGGTGTCAAACTCATTTTGGTCTGGGGGCCGTATCCAACCTACTTTGATCCCAAAGGGCCGGATCAGAAAACTCATGTCATATAAACCCCAAAAATAACAATAAGTTCAAATATTTGTGCAGAGAAACGCAAATCTACTACAGAAAATCTTTTTTAATTGATGAACTCTTTCTTTTACAAAATATTATAATATTTTGAACAACCTGAAACTTTAAGAAAAATGCAATTTCAACACAAAGTTTTAACATTAACTTGTATGCAAATAGAAATAAGTACATTTTTCTTGGAAAATCCTGCACTCGGCTCTACTTTTCTCATTTTGGAGATTTTTTTGATGAGGGTGTCACGGTCAACAGTCAAAACGATCGTCCTTTAAGAGCGTTTGGAAAGAGACAAGTCTTCATTTGTGCTGCTCTGGTGGGAGGGGCCACGTACAGAGACGCTGGAGACACTGCTATGTTAAGCACTGCAGAAAATTAACAATATTTTAATAGAAAATATAATTGAAATATTTTAGTAGAAAATCAGCTGAGGGCCAGATTAAAGGTCTTGGAGGGCCGGATTTGGCCCTCGGGCCGTGCGTTTGACATCTGTGAAATAAAGTATTCTAACGCGCTCAAGTGTGCACCCACGACCAATTAGTAACGGAGGAAAAAGGGGAAAATGCGTTAATAGTGAATACGGTGCAGATGAATGAAACAGCGGGGAAACGGGGAGTGAACTTGTGTGTGTGGGATGAATCAGTGTGTGTGCGCGGGCATGTCAGTGCAGGCCGCGGTTACATGTAGCGGGAAAATCATAAACGGACTGGCTCCGTCACACACACAACAGAACACAGGAGGAAGAGGGAGTCGTGTTTTTCCTGTCGCTCATCAGATTAGAATGAGCAGAAAAATACTGTGTCCCAAATCAGACTCTATATACAGTCTATATTCAGACTCTGTATACAGTCTATATTCAGACTCTGTATACAGTCTATATTCAGACTCTATATACAGTCTATGTTCAGACTCTGTATACAGTCTATATTCAGACTCTGTATACAGTCTATGTTCAGACTCTATATACAGTCTATGTTCAGACTCTGTATACAGTCTATGTTCAGACTCTGTATACAGTCTATATTCAGACTCTGTATACAGTCTATATTCAGACTCTGTATACAGTCTATGTTCAGACTCTGTATACAGTCTATATTCAGACTCTGTATACAGTCTATATGTTCAGACTCTATATACAGTCTATATTCAGACTCTATATACAGTCTATATTCAGACTCTATATACAGTCTATATTCAGACTCTATATACAGTCTATATTCAGACTCTGTATACAGTCTATATTCAGACTCTGTATACAGTCTATATTCAGACTCTGTATACAGTCTATATTCAGACTCTGTATACAGTCTATATTCAGACTCTGTATACAGTCTATGTTCAGACTCTGTATATTCAGTCTATATCAGCTCATACAGTCTATATTCAGACTCTGTATACAGTCTATATTCAGACTCTGTATACAGTCTATACAGTCTATGTTCAGACTCTGTATACTCAGTCTATGTTCAGACTCTACAGTCTATACAGTCTACAGTCTAATTCAGACTCTGTATACAGTCTATATTCAGACTCTGTATACAGTCTATATTCAGACTCTGTATACAGTCTATGTTCAGACTCTGTATACAGTCTATGGTCAGACTCAGGTTTCTTTCTGTCGTGGATCAAGTTGAGTCTTGATCTGGACTTAGTTCCCGTTCAGGATTTCAGGGTGAGTCGACTTGTTAAAGGCCTTTGATGGAACAGACCCTGTAGAAAAGGCCCCCTTGTGGTCGCTACGTGCCACAGACGTTGACACTAACTCTCTCCTCACTTGTCACGCACCTCACTTCACCTGGACTCTGGTCTTGGACTCTTGGACTCTGTCTGCTGTGAGCTGCAGACTGTTATTACCTGCCTTTGTGTATCTGCGCTCCTCTGATTGTGTGCGTTCGTGTGCGTCTTGTGTAAGTGTTTGTTGTTTAATGCGTGTAATTGAGTCAGTCGTATCTTTATATTTGATCTGTTTTTTGTTATGTTTAAGGAGAGTTTGGGCCACTTTACCTTGAGTCTGGTGCTACGTTATATTTATAATTTTATGTCTTTACCATCTTCAGTGAATTTCTATGTTCCAGTAGCGTGTACTCATGTAAGTTTGTGCAAGTTACTTCTCTTAATTGGTTGCAGGGCCTGAAGCACGCCTTGTCACGCAGTCGCAGGTCAGGCCTTTGTAATTACCTTCGTTTCCACCAGAGGGAGCCATTTACTCATTATTGTTGTTGTTGTTTCAGGACCTCACACATACACATTCATTCACCAACACAATCAGACAGCATCACAGAAATATTCTCCAATCAAGTGAAGCGTTTCAGTGATTCTGACCGATCACCTGCTGTGGGCTCCACCTCAGGATCCAGTAAAATAAAACAAGCTCGGAACAGAAGCACATCCTTCCTCACAGCCCCTTTACCCTGAGAGGCTGAAGACGTCGACCGTCCGACCAACTTTATGAAATCCTTTTCTAGTGACTGTGACACTGACCTGAGCTGTGCAGACACTCCACTCTGGTCTTCTTCAAAGTGGACGCCCAATTCTTTGGAGAAGTTACTGCTCAAAGAGACTTCACTGGGGCCAGGAACTACTTTAGTCCTGATATAGTCCTGGTTTAGTCCTGGTTCATTGGGAAGAGAAACAGTTTGAACAGAGGTTTGAGTCACACACATCTGATTCATTTTGCATTTATGGACTTCGCAAACACATTTCTTGAGCCGTTTTCTGCTGTTAGGATCCAACAACCACACAATTACAATGTCCAAATCCCAAAACTAAAATATGATAATATCAGAACCAGAAACAAATACGATATGGTTCAAAAGACTTGAAAAGATCGACTTTGTCAATAGACGCATCCCACTGGGAAAACAAACATGGCGATTTGATGCTCACTTTTTCGGAGAATCCTTCCCAGTATGAACTGCGCAATGACCGGAAGTCAGAAATTCTTGATGTGTCTATAGCAGCTTCCCACCACAGTGTGGAGTGAATGAATCATTTTCTACACAGTGACACTAATGATCTTTAAGGTGCAATATAAATCTAATGTATTTCACTATTACTTCAATTTTAAACTGATGATATTTTAACCCATTTCTGCTCCGTGTGTGTTAATTAATTAATTAATTAATTTATGTATTTATTTATTTATTTATGTAATAGGGACAGTGCATTTTAACGAACATCGACAACACTGCGATGTAAATATGACAGATTATAACAAAAATGCTCATGTCCATCTGTCGTCCCTCGGCAGGTGACACCACAAATTTAACAGAGAAAAACAACAAAAACAAGTGACACTTCTAAACTAAAAATGTCCACAAGTCTGGTTTTCCTTTAGCCGCTGTTTCAAGTGGGATGTGAAAGTGTCCAGTGTTGGAGTTTCTCTTATTGATAAGGGGAGAATGTTCCAAAATGTTATGCCTCTGACTGAGACACACTTTGTCCAAATGTGGAGCGTCTGTGTGGAGCTCACAGTTCCCTCGAGCCGTGGAACTCGTTCCCACTGACGGTCTTTGTTTTAAGTCCATGCAAAACTTTATAGATAAAACATCCATATTTAAAATCAACAAAATGATTGTACTTGTCTAAAATAGTGCAGTGGTGAAATGAGAATGGTTTCTTGTCCAGTATTTTTATGGCTTTTTGTGTGTGTGCATGTGTGTGTGTCCATGTGTGTGTGTGTCCATGTGTGTGCATGTGTGTTTATGTGTGTGAATATTTATCACCCCATAATATAACCTATTACCCACAGTGCACCTCTCCTCTCGTATGTTTTCCCATATGTGTAAAATCTACCATCAGGTAATTATGACCTGAAATATACAAACTCCTCCCTGTGTGTGCATGTATATGTGTGTGTGTATGTATATGTGTGTGTGTATGTGTATGTGTGTGTGTGTGTGTGTGTGTGTGTGTGTGGTGTATATAAACTGTTATCATTCCGTGACATGTCGCTAACATCAGCTGTAAGTGTGCGCCTCGACGCTGCATGAGTAATGAGTGACGCCTGCAGGAGTCTCCTCGCTCTCTGCACACACACACACACACACGCACACACACACACACACACACACACACACACACACACACACACACGCACACACACACACACACACACACACACACACACACACATTTGGGAATTTAAAATGGTTAAACATTTTGCATCTTAGAACAAT